TGCGTGCCAGCACCCCCACACCCCCTGTGCATGTGTGTGCAACCCTCCCCTTACCTGCATTGTGCCTCACAGCTGATTTTTGGACGGTTTGAGGCCTTTTTTGGCCTCCCATAGGATGAAAAAAAAAAGCCTCTGCAGGCTTTGCAGGCAGAATCATAGGCTCTTTTTGTCACTTCCGGTATTATAGGAAATGACAAAACGGGCCTATTATTTGTCTTGCAAAGCCTGCAGAGGCTTTTTTCAAGCCTCTGGGAGACTGAAAAAGGCCTCAAAGCAGCCGAAAAAATAAGCTGTGAGATGTGCGCATGCGCAGTGCGGTAAGTTTAGCTGCGGCTCGCGTGCCAGCACAAATGGCTCTGCGTGCCACCTGTGGCACATGTGATATAGGTTCACCATCATGGGTATAGGGTCTCCTGCTTGAGCAGGGGGTTGGACTAGAAGACCTCCAAGGTCCCTTCCAGTTCTATTCTGATGGATTGGATGTGGAATCTGAATAGCTGATGTCTCACACGCTCCTATAACAAGATCACTTTAAATATTTCAAGAGACAAGTCTATAAAGTCCGAGAAATGTAGAGAGCTTGCTCAAGTTGGGAAGCTGAACAGAAAAACAGGTCTGAATTCCAAACACCCGTGGCCTGAAAAAATGTCCCAGGTCAACAAGTTTTTCCTCCAAACACATTCCAGTTCTACAGACAATGTTCCTAAACATCTTGCAACGAGAAAGGAAACAAAATGTCTTTTCATCCCTTGTTTCAACACGGCAGGCCAATCACCTCTGACTTTTTATTTATCTATTTGTACCCTGTCTTTATTATTGTTAAAAATACCGCAAGGCAGCACAGCTATCCCAGTGCACCTTCCTCGTCCTCTTTTTCCCATAACCACCACCCTGTGAGGTGAGCTGGGCTGAAAGAGAGAGAGAGTCATTGTCCCAAAGTCACCCAGGCAGCTTTCATGTCTAAGTTGGGGCTAGAACTCACCGTCTCCTGGTGATTGTCCACCTAAACCCACGCCCATCATGTCAATGACACCATCTAACCATCTCATCTTTCTGCCGCCCCCCCTTCTCCTTTTGCCTTCCATCTTTCCCAGGGTCTACTCCAAGGAGAACTCTCTTCTCATTTGTTGGCCAAACTATTTGAGTTTCCAGCTTCTAGGATCTGCCCTTCCAAAGGACACTCCAGGTTGATTTTCTTTAGAAGCTTCACCCAATAACATTGACCGTATCTTCCATTCTTTTGATTTAAGCCCCACATGCCTCAATCAGTGACCTTCTCTAAACCCAGGGGCAATCATGGTGTAGTAGGGTCTCCTGCTTGGGCTGGGGAAGGGGTCTGGACTAGATGACCTTCAAGATCCCTTCCAACTCTGTTGTTCTATATTCAATGGAACAGAAGTTGCCTTCAGAAGTTGTGGGAGCTTCATCCCTGGAAGCTTTCAAGAAGAAACCGGGCTACCATCGGTCAGAAATGGTGTAGTAGGGTCTCCTGCTTGGTCTGGGGAGGGGGTCTGGACTAGATGACCTTCAAGATCCCTTCCAACTCTGTTATTCTATATTCTATATCCACAAAGAAGGGCACCCTCACTGGTCCAACTCTGGCAACGTGGCATATCAGTTGCGATTTTAAAAATGAGCCAAGATTTGGGACTTCACACAGCCTCTTGATCCAGGTATCTTTCTGGGGTAAGATAAGTTATAAAGGAAAACCTTGAACTCCCAGACTGAGCCCTGTGTAGTTGTCAGAAGATGACACAAATTTGGGGCCAAAGGAAAACAAAAAGCAAAACAACAAAAGAGAATCCCTTGGAATGAGCTGGAAGTGGAACAAAAGAAGACTGGAAAATCGGAAAGCATGAAGGCGAATTCCTCTAGTGCCGAAACTTGTTGCTAAGAGACATGATAAATCAAAGGAGGAAGGAGGGAGAGGGTGAAAGAACGAGGAGAAGAGAGACTAAAATAGCAACTGCTAGTTAAGGAGCAAGAATGTAGAAATACCTTCTGGGGAAGAAGAAGGGGAGGGGGAATTTTAAAAAACCCAACCCAGCGTATTGTGCCCCTCTGTTTATTCTGCTGTTGGATCTGGAACCGTTTGTCGGAGCGTTTGGAGAAAGAGTAGCTTGCAACGGTCAGGCTGCACCAAGGACTTGTTGGCCTTAAAGGACATTCCATTCTCAAATTCCAGACATGGAGCTTCATTGTCCTCTGGAGGGGTGGGGGAGACACCCACCCACATTTTCCTGGGTGCCAAAGAAATTCTTGTTGCCAAATGGGCTTTCCTGGAGTGCCTGCAGGGTTCCCCACCCCCCCACCCCCAGCATGGCAGAAGGGAAAAAAGTGCACCCCGAGTGAAAATTTGTTTGTTTGTTTGTTTGTTTGTTTGTTTGTTTATTTATTTATTTATTTTCTGTCCGTTCCTCCTTCCTTCCTTTTTTCTTTTTCCTTCTTTATTTTCTTTCTTTTCCTCTTTCTTTGCCTTCCTTCCTTCTTTCTTTTCCTCCCTTTCTCCCTCCTTCTTTCTCTTTCCCTCCCTCCCCTCCCTCCTTTATTTTTCCTCCCTCCCCTTCCTTCTTCCTTCCTTTCTTCCTTCTTTCTTTTCCTTCTTTCCTTCCTCCCTTTCTTTTTTCTTCCTCCCTTCCTTCTTTTTCTTTCTTTTTTCCCCTTTCTTTCTCTCTTTCTTTGCCTGCCTTCCTTCCCTCCCTCCCTCCTTTCCTCCTTTCCTTCCTTCCTTCCTTCCTTCCTTCCTTCTTTTTCTTTCCCCTTTCTTTCTCTCTTTCTTTGCCTTCCTTCCCTCCCCCCCCCCCCCCCCCCCCCCCCCCTCCCTCCCTCCCTCCCTCCTTCCCTTTCCTCCCTCCCTGCCTCCTTGCTGTGCTAGCCTGGAACATTACTGTAATTCCTCTCTAAAGAAGCATAATGAAAATGTGAAGAAGCGGATTCCCCCTCCCCCCAGCCACTGGACTGTGTGCTAATGCAGTTCCAAAATTAACAGCAGAATGCCCAAGCCAGGTGTTTGCCTGATCTATGACAGAAGTGCACTCTGGTGGAATTTTCCCTTGCTCAGCCCGGGATCCAAGTGCATCAGTTGTCAAGTCAGGGGGAAAGGGGGAAAAAAAGGGGGGGAATCTGGTGTTTCAGTTGTGCAGGGTGTGAGTGGTGGAACTAGAGTGACACAAGACATATCCGTTGTGGGTGTCAACGGACACGAAAGAATCAAATGATAGTTAATGAAATGTTGTAAGTTGTGCAGAGTCGCCTTGCAGTGGGATGGGCAGGAAACAACTTAAATAAATACATACATACATAAATAATAGGTAAATAGGTAAATAAATAGACAGTGCTTGATAGTGTAAGTATCACATATGAAGGCATGTGCAGCTTTGATTTAAGCCTGAATGGGAAAATAAAAATCCAAGTTTCGTTTAAAAATACTGCATGGAAGAAAAATACATTTTCTTCTGCCTGCCTGCCTGCCTGTCATCCATCTGTCTATCTCATCTATTTGTCCATCCATCCATCCATCCATCCAGCCAACATCCCAAGCATCAAAAGCTTATAATCTCCAATGTATAATATGCAGGAATGCTGATAAACAACTTATTTCCAAAGAGAAAATAGTATCTACTGAACAAGTATATTTGTGTACAACAAACATAATTATAAATGTGTGTGTGTGTGTTTGTGTGTCTGTTAAAGGAAGGTCTTTTTGAACTAAGGGTCACTTCCTATGGATCACAACATGTCCATGCATTTTTCTGGCAAAAATATAGAGGTGACATGCAATTGACATATTCCAGGATTGTTTTTAGTTTTCCAATCTAGTAGACAACCCTTGGATATTTTTTTTTGACATATCCCATCCAGTTACTAACTAGATCTGATCCTGCTTTACTTTCCGAGATCAGCTATGTTTGGTACTATTTTATATTATAATATCACATAACTTTATAATCTTTTACATTATTTTATTAGCACAGCTTTCTGTTCATGATGCGATGAAAGATAGGTGAAGATTCTGAGAATAGCATTAGCACTTAGACATATACCACTTTCCCAGTGCTTTCACAGCCCTCTCTAAGTGGTTTACAAAATCAGCCTGTTGCCCTCCAACAATCTGGGTCCTCATTTGACCGACCTCGGAAGGATAGAAGGTTGAGTCAACTTTGAACCGGTCAGAATCGAATTGCTGGCAGTGAGCAGAGTCAGTCTGCAATATTACATTCCAACCACTGTGCCACCACAGTTCCAATCCTGAATCAATCTTGGAAGGTTGAGTCAACTTTGAGCCGGTCAGAATCGAACTGCTGGCAGTGAGCAGAATTAGCTTGCAATACTGCATTCTAACCACTGCGCCACCAGGGTTCGTTCAGATTGCTCTTCGACTTTCCTATGCCAACTCTGTTCTTGCAAGATTTCTTCAGGAAATACCACTTTATGTCTATCATATCCTCTCCCAAAACGGGAAGCTGTTGCTGCCTATAAACAACTCCAGGACTAAGGAAGGAATTGTTTTTAATTATTTCTGCAGCTCTTGACAGGAGAAAAAAAAAAAAACCCACCCCAAAACACTTACTTGCAAAAGCACTTAATACAGGTAGTCCTCAATTTACAACAGTTCATTTAGTGGCCGTTACAACGGCACTGAAAAATAGGACAATTACGAGCATTCCAGCATCCCCGTCATCATGTGATCAAAGTTGACAATGGACTCATATTTCCGATGGTCACGGTGTTCCAGGCTCACATTTTGCAATCTTCCAACAAGCAAAGCCACTGGGGAAGCCAGATTCGCTTAATGACCGCGTTCCTCACTTAGCCACACCAGCGATATGCTTCACAACAGTGCCAAGAAAGGTTGTAAAATGGGAGAAATCTCACAGGACTCACGTCTCAGCAACAGAGAATTGTGGCTGGTGAGTCAAGGGACTACCTGTATTGCCAATGCTTGAAGCTAGGAAACCAGCAGCCAAAAGATTGAATGCCACTCTCAACCATCTACTTACGTCTGGGTAGTAATCCATGGTGGGTACCAGATGCTGGATGAGGACCTCCAGGGATCCAGAAATGAGATTCCCATCCTGATAAACAGGATCGCCACTCCTCTCGCCTGTGTCTGGTGTCACCTGTCCTCGACATCCTGTCCCGAGCATGCTGGAAAATATCGGTGTCTGTGGCATAGTTTCCTGTATAAAAGGGGAGGAAGCAGCATGAAGGATTTGCAAGCAACATGAGTGTCTCAGAATTTTTGGGCCGTGCCTCTGTTAGGAAGACAGGCCCACTTGCTCATGTGCACCATCAAAGTTGGCACGTTCCTTTGGAAGCAATGGGCTGGCGCATGACTAAGAGCATAGAAGCAAAGGAGACACTCCTCCTGCAAGTTAACATACGGCAGAGCCGGGTCTCACAAGCCTTTGCTTGCGATTCGATGAAGGGCAGGTTCCTAGCACTTAGCCAATGCCCCTTAGACTTATATACTGCTTTATGGTGCTTTATGGCACTCGCTGAGAGGTTTACAAAAGTCAGCACAAGAGTCGTGGTGGTTCAGTGGTTAGAATGCAGCATTGCAGGTCGATTCTGCCCACTGCCATGAGTTCGATCCTGACTGGGTCAAGGTTGACTCAGCCTTCCATTCTTCCGAGGTGGGTCAAATGAGGACCCAGATTGTTGGGGGCAAAAGGCTGACTCTGCAAACTGCTTAGAGGGGGCTGAGAAGCACTGTCAGGCAGTATATAAGGCTAAGGACTATGGCTATATTGCCCCCAACAATCTGGGCACTCATTTTACCCACCTCAGAAGGATGGAAGGCTGAGTCAACCTTGAGCTAGTCAGGATCGAACTCCTGACAGTCAGCAGAATTGGTCTGCGATACCGGAGTCTCACCACTACACCACCATGGTCCTTCCTTCCTTCCTTCCTTCCTTCCTTCCTTCCTTCCTTCCTTCCTTCCTTCCTTCC